CTGTGCAGCTTTGACACACTGAGAAATTGGAGAAAATTTCCTAAGAATAAGCTCAAAATCATGTGTTGGATATTGCCCAACACCCTTTAAAGCCAAAAATCACTGCAGATTTCTTGCTTAGACAGCCAACTTTCCCCTTCACTTTTAAATTCCCTATGGAACTGAAGGAGTTTTCAGAGAGCTCCAGAAAAAAATTACAAAGAACAAAATCATGAAAAATGCGTCAAATGTGGCCAAACAGTTACAAATCCAAGCTGCAGACTTTTTCCAAGAACTATGATTAAAARGAATTTTGCATCCATTTTAGCTAATTTCTAATGGAGAAATTTGTGATGCTTATACATCAGCTCTGACATTATTTCTGAATACTGGCAGCAATCACCCATATTTTTATCTAATGAAAGGACAGTTATRTCCTGACTGTGGCACTGCATTAAGAATTAGAGAGCCTTTAAAGGTGGACTACAAAGTAAATTTGCTGCTTCTCCATTTTGATACTCTGTTATTTCAAATACAGCCTCACTTTCCTGCCGTTTTCCAGGCAGGGAGGCAAAATATTACTCATATTTTTTCCTTCTCCACTTCTTTTTCTCCAACAGGTATGTTGGCTCTGCTTTACTTCAGTATTACCACAAACTTTGTTGGAAGTTTCCCATATTTACTTTACCGCCTGCATCTTTTCCAGAGAGATAAGGCTATTGAATAATTAACAAAGATATCTTTCTCCCACAAGCTCATTAAGCATTAAGCTTATTATTTATATCACAATAGAGCAAAGATCCCCAGTTGTGAGGCAAAATCCAGCCCTGTTAGACTCTGCACTGATAGGCATGAAAGCATTCATCCCAAAGAGCTGACATTCTTTGAGCCAGAACATAATGTGCAAAACAGACAAGGACAAACACACAAAACATGACGTGAAATCTCCACGTGGACGCYGGCTGGTTGGGGAACAGCTGCACCAGGGATTATTCATGCACATGGAMCACTTTGTTGGTCATTTTGAAAACTCTGGTCCACCTCTTGGCTGTACTGTAAAACTCTTAGCTCACACGAGAGACTGCTACAAAGAAAGAGAAATCCAAATATCTTCCCTCTGCTTCTTTCCAAACTGTATCACCACTGGGGACAAGGATCTTATTTCACTGAAGAAGAAACAATGGTGAAAGTCTTCATCACCATTTTAAAAGAYGGATTTTTCAAAATGGAAACTTCTGCTAGGTCATTGTAATGCTTCCTTCTGGGTAGAGAGGTGTGTCCTAGAAAGCCCACTTTTCACTTGAAAGGCAAAGTCTTAACTAGCCCATGTACATCACTGAAATGATCCAACCTTTCAGCAAAAAGGGAATCAGAAATAACTAAAACTTCCAGACCAGCACCCAGACAAGGAACAAACAGAGAAAGGGCTCAACTTCAGGTAGAAAGTTCTTATTACTRAAATGCTTTATTGTGGAAATAGTGAATTGCCTCAGGAAAAAAAAATCCTGCTTGAGGAAGAGGGACTAAGCTATATTCAAAGACATGTAGTCTCTCCTGAATTTCAAAGATGATGTCTGAGCCAGAAAACTGCTGGCTCCAGTTCCACAGGCTGCTGGCACCATCTCCTCCCGTGCCTGTCCCAAGTGTGGGATCTCTGCTCTGCTCTCAGCTGGGCTTTCACAGCACCTCTTGTGCAYTCAAGAAGTGCAAGACTGTGATACTTTTTTAAAATGAAGGACTGACCAAACTAGAGATCTTTATACTCAAAGTCTGCATCAGTTCATTTACCAGCTGCCTTGGGGAGAATTCACTGGTAAAATGCTGTAATTGAGGGCACTTTATGCAAATATGCAAGTGCATAGTTGCAGTTTTGCCCAAAATTTGGAAATAACAGGTGCCTGCACAATTGCTTTTCTGGAGAGGCAACATGGACCTCAAAACCAGTTGTGTTACACTGCAGCCAGAACAAAATAGAAAATAGAAAAATCCTAAGACAGTACAAACCAGGCAAGCTTGATGCTGAATATAAAACTTGGACACTGTTTAAAGCATAAATAGTAATTATTGGGATACATTATTGCATTACTCCTTTATCTGGCCCCAAAGATAAAAAACTGCGTATCTTTGGCAGAATTTTGAAAATCCTGAGCTATCCAAGGCATCAACACCGCACTTTTAGTGAGTGTTATCTACTTGTCCCCTGTTTCTGTGCTGCTCTACATCTGTCCCAGTCACTTTGCTTTCCTGTTCACATCCCATTTATCCAGCTGTCATATGAAATAAAACAATAACAAAACAAAAYGTCGCTTATTTCATTTGCCTGCAAAGTTATTTACAGGTATTTGGTATTAAATTTCCTGCTGAATGCATGAAGATCCCAAAGTCAGTGCACTGTGTATTTCTAGCAGTGGGCAAGGAATCAGATTGATTAAATTATAAATTATGATTACTGTATAAATCAGAATACTGAAGGAGACTGTTTTAAAAAATTACAATAAAAAAAAGGAGCCTCTGAAATGGTTCTTCAAGAAAATAGCTATCATTCCAGGTAATACCTGGGCAATGAAAGAAATATATTACTAATACAAATAAGGTAAATAAGTAATATAGACCCAACAAAAACTAAACAAAAAAAAAAGGAAAATGAATTATTCAGTATTTTCCCATCTGACTTTCATTGGTGTGCACTACAATAGAGTGTATCAATATTCAGGTTCATGTTATTCGAGATATTAACCCTTGCACTTGAAGACATTTGATTTTCCTTGAAATCATCCAAGCAAAATTGTCAGTAAGCTTTCATTTGTGTGAAGTAACAGACACCAGAAAATGGCATGTCAACATTAATGCAGATATTCCAGGAGAGAAGGCTTCTTTTTACATTACACAAGCCAATCAAACCTGATATGCTTGCAATCCACTGAATTCCCTCAAACCTTCTTTGTTTTACGGAAAGTCTCCTCTAGTGACCTACTTGAAWGTTATCAGGCAAAACTGACAGCAATATAGGATATAAAATAGATGCATAATGTGAATCAGTCTCTCCTTAAAGAACTTGTATTTAAAAAATCCTTTCAAAAAACGGCAAAGCATTCGGAAAAAAAAAATATGTGCATATAAGCCAGCAGGAGAGACCTGGAAGTAATTTGAAACACTTTACACTAATTAAAATTAACTCTTTGGTGCTAGCAAGAACGACTTCTCTGTGTCTCAGACCGCTTTTGCACAAAGCTGAAGTAGCCGCTGGCGTGATTTTTTTTTTTAATTGATTAGTTCTGAACTTATAAACATACTCTGTTCTTAATTTTGTCTGTTTTGAAGAGTTCTGCTCCAAAATGACCTAAAACTCTATACTATACATTTCTACAAGTCTTTGTCCATAAAAGACTGAGATGCACCATGGAAAGCACCTGAAGATTTTGAAGCAGTGCACAAGTTCCTGCTCTAGGCTGTTGAGAGCAGGAACTCTTGCTGTGTGTTCTGGTGAAGCAGTTTGTCATCAGGACCTRATGGCTATTTAAAAACACAATAAATCTCATCACAAGTCACAGGAAATGTTGCTTTATAAYCCTTGCTACCCMTGGCTTCAGTGGGGAAGCCAAGAAYAATTCCAACAGAGACCATGGCTGTGGAGAAGTGACAATCCAGCTCTTTGGTTTGCTAAGGATGACCCAAGTTTAACCTRTCATTTCTAGGGGCATTTTGGCACCTGGAGCAGGCATGTGGCAAGTGCCACCCTGCTGGCCAGTGTGCCACCATAGATCCAGATTCTTCTTTGCTCTGGCATGCTTAGAAAGAGAATGTCAGTACTGTCCAAGGTCCCTGTGCCCTTCTGTTCCTCGCCAATTATGCCTCCTAAATATCAATTTCCACGTCATTCCACTGTCTCAGAAGGATTCTCTGGGTGCCTGAAGTCCCTCATAAATTTTAATATTGCTTTTTAAGTCTTGTAATCCTTTTTTCAGGTTCCTAAATTTTTCCTTAATTGATTGGGCCTGTGCATTTTTTGCTACAAATCTACAATTATAGTGGAAAAGCATCACTTCCCAGACAGAGAGGCATGATAACAAAAAGGTGTCTTGTTTTCCCTTTGTCTAAGTGTTTGATTACGTGTTATCAGGCAAATCAGATAACCTGAGTTTGCTTGACTCATCCACTGAGCACAAACATTATCCATCTTTGCCTTTCCATAGCACTTTATAATCCCAGGATCTCAAAGCCAAGTAGCAGTACAAAACACAGCATCCCCCTGAAGGAAAACTACCCAGTGTCACAAGGAAAGCTGTAGCTGTTTTGATTTATAAAACTACACTGGGTGAAGGCTGAGTACAATCCAGCAGGCACAGAAAGAAATCCCCAAAGATTTAAAAAATAAACTACCAGAGGCAGAGATTAATATCAGTAATTTACAAATTACCTTTTAAAAGCATTAAAACACAAGAGTAAGCCAACCTAATTTCCCTCCCAAAATTTCTTCATTCTCTCCCTTTCCCCTTAACTTGCTTTCTGTCTCTCTTATAATGGTTTCCTCAGGTTCTGATCACAGTTTCATTGTGGCATCAGTCTACTGGAAGCATAATCCTGGAGATACTCCTTTTAAAGGACAATTTAATTGAATTCTTAAATAGCAGAAGAAAATCAATTTCCTCCGACTTCATCCTCTTTTGAATACTTAAATCTGCACAATTATACATTTAAGAAACTGAATCTGTCAACTCTGAAACTTCAGGTTTTATCAATTAGATACTTTTCTGGTCCCTACCAAAGCAAAATCTTTTWAAAAATCCATTCATTGGGGAAAATTAACTTTTTCACATGGAAATGTCTGTGTCTTTTCACACCTGTAGCAACAGGCATATTCATGAAGAAACAAAACAACCAAAGAAATTCCCAGACACAGTTCACTTTTCTAAATATGAATAAAAATAAAAAAACATCCAAGTTTGCATTGTGCTAGTTTCAATCAAATGTTGATGAGCCTGGAAAAGTGAGARGATTCAGAAATGAGATGGCAACTTACTGCTTGAGGCAGACAGTTCTCGTGGGCTGGAGGCCATGGGCTGAGCACACATCTGACAGAGACAGTCCCTTCCATTAAAGGTAACTCGATCTCCCGGTGGAAATGGACGCCTGGAAAGTTCAAGAGAAAATTGTATTTTTGAAAAGGTTATTCCAGAAGTTTTCCTCTGTTCCCCATGCCCTGAGCTTCCTGCCTTCCTCCAGCGCGATCAATATTTTGCAGAAACTCAAGCCAAATAGTTTCTGCAATGTGGCCTTGGCAGAGCCAGGCACTGGAAGAAATCCAATCCATGGATGCAAGCAGAGCAGAGGTTAGACTTGCCTTGTATTTTCATTTAAAAAAGATTATCAAATGTATTTTATCTGAATAGAAGAGACAGTGAAATCTGCTAAGACACAACAGCTATATTTATGATGGTCTCAGGGTGATGTTGTACATAGCAAAGGATACAGAAGAGAACTCAAAGAATGAGAACAGTTCTTGAGGCTGGTGAAGGAATGTGGAGCTAGTCACTCATAAATGTTAAGAATGTGTGTTAGGCAAAAGTTGACATTGCTATTAAGCAGTAGATGAACAACATTTTATAACTCCAAATCTTTACTAATGAGCATTACCTGCTGAGTGCAGGCCCCTGGTACACCCCACCTCACTCCAACACCGCTCACCAAATGAACAGCTGCTGATTTCAACAAAACAAAGTGTTTCAGGCATTGTTTGCTTTCCACTGCCATCTCTAAGTGGGCCAAAAATAAATCAGCAGCAATACTGAATTTCATTAACCTATTCCAATGACTCATCTTTTGTTCATTCAACATAAAAAGATTGATGTAASTCAATGTACAGAAAACTGATGTAATGTTTCACACTGTCACAGGAAAATAAAACTGCAACATACACATTATGTGATCACCAACATGCAGTAAATTCACACACTATTTAAAAACAGGAAACAATCAGGAAAAAGGCTTGAAAAATGTATCAGGCTAAAGAACAAAGTACTTCAACTACTCAGAGAYAGAAGTTTAAAATGCCACCTTTCTCCCATCCACAGAGCCCCAGATAACTTTTTATTTGGTGTAGAACACTGGTTTCTCTTACTGGGGAGAAGAAACAGTCTTTGGGAACAAGAGGGAGAACCCCAGTTGTCCCAAAGCCACACATTCTTACACAATGTGAAAATGAGTCTCCAGTACGTTCAATTGCTCAACTGTCCTCAAAGCCCAAATGCAGAATCCAAAGTTTTGCTTTACTTCATTTCTCCCACCAAGCTGGGCTGATCACCTGAACTCAGCTCAACTCACGTCCACTATCTCAACGTGTCAGCCTRACACTGAATTCTTTGGGACATGAGAGTAACTTTCTGACAACAGGGAAAATTAWAGGTAACACAGAAGCTGTGCCCCCCAAACAAATTAGTGGCATTTGCAAGACCCTTAAGTCAGACCTGCAGCAGATCTTTTATATCCAAACGCATCCTCAAGAGAAATACATCATGAGACTYGGGTCTCACGGTGAATCCTTTCTTYRTGTTTTCCTTGAGCTGGTTTCCCACCATGCTAACTGAAGGGATGACTTACTTGCACACAGTACAGGCAAAGCAGCTTGGGTGATAGGTTTTTCCCAGAGCAGTCACAACTTCGCCTTCCACGAACTCCCCGCAGCCRTTGCAGCGGGTGCCGTACATGCGCTGGTAATCCAAGGTGCAGAGATATTCTCCATTCTTAATGAAAAAGCCTCCTTGGGCCAGGTCACAGCCACACACTGGAAGAAAAAAAACAAACCACACAGATTAGAAAAATATCGCTGCTAAGGATTTTAACTGCTCAATTGTATCAGAAGGGTCAAGAGCCAGTCAAGGATTTCAGGGACCTGGCAGTTTTTCTGCTGTAAAATGCCTATTCACCCAAACCAAAACACATCAAAAACAGGTGCCTACTTTTCTTTTAGAAAATATTCAGAGTYCTACATTGGCATTTCTGGTCAACACAAAGACAGAAAGCAATCCTACCTCYAACAGCCAAACCCCATGAAGAGAARGTGCCATGGRAGATGGGAGATTGAATTTCACACTGTGCCTTTAGCTTGGATTGAACAAAGAACTCTAAACTATTTATTTAGTGTTCCTCTGATTCACCAAAAATTTATACCCAGCTGCTCCCAGGCACTTTGGTTTCAGCCACTCCTCCTGCTCCTCTGTATACTGCTGTATCTGTGTAATTCTGTAAGAGAAACCACTCTTCACAGCACTCTAGCAGGTTAACGTTGCAAGCAACTCCATCTCATACCTCTTCATAAGATTTAAGTACATTCAGATCAAATATCAGAAATATTGAATATCAGAAATTCTGATTATTAAGGAAAAATAAGYAAGCAGTTACATAATCCTTAAAAAATTAAAATATGAAATACAGAAAGATTACCAGGGGAACCGAGCTCAACTTTCTGCCACAAGTCTCAAGCACAATACTGTGCCCAAAATTCATTCTTGTTCCTCTTAAAATGGGCTAGTATCTTATTAGCTACCTGCCCTAATTAAAATTGGAAGGCATTTGGGGCAAGGATTGCAAATTTTCTTTGTCTGTTGCCAAGCCCTGGAGATCTAATGTTTGCTGCTGTAACAATAATTAATAGAACAAAAGTAAACAGTGCTAAAATGCAGCTTAGAAGGAAARCAGTATCAGTACCAGAGATTTTTCMGGTTTCACATTTCTGCACAGAACAGTGCTAATATTCCATGTGCAAACAAATTACATTTSATGGTGGCACTAAATCCACAAGCAGCCAAAACCCAATTATCAGTGACTGAAGAGAGTTACAAAGAGCTACTGTTAAGGCTCTGTTGTAATGCTGCAAAATGTTCCAAGCTGGTTTTTAGATGCACCTCCAGGAAAGAAACTCTTTCATTCCTTCTTTTTCTACTACTGATCTCAATTTTGTTTAAAATGTAATTTTCAAACTAACTGTACAACATACTATAATCCTTAGGCAGAAAATGCTGTGACCTCTGCACCACATCACCTTAGACTCCTCCTGAATTTGGGATCATGTAGTACTTTTCCACTGCGGGGCCCAGAAGTGAGACCTCAGCTTACTCCTAGTAGGTTTGGTTCTCTAAGGTACTTTGGACAGATCCTTCCAATTAAATCAGGAGAAACTGAGAATTGTCTAAAATGTCTAAAAGATGCTTCAGAAGCTGTTGAATTTCATAAAGAGCTATAGAGCCTTGTGTGATTATTTAAATTGATTCATTGACTCATGTGCCTGTGTGATTATTTAAATTGTAGTTTGCAATTCACCTTGCAGCTTTAACATCCCAGTACATCTATTTTTCAGCCTCAAGYTGAAGGTGCTCAGCATGCTGCTGGGTCTGCCTCACAAGCTGCATATATGAACCCTCTGGCTCTTTGCTATGATCCCCAGTTCTGCCAAAGAGTCACTATTTGAAGAACTCATTTGGTCATTGTGGCCTCCTTTACCTGTGTAAGCAAGAGTCTAATTAGCTGGAATGATCAAAAGTAACTTGCAATGCCACCTCTGTTCTAGCTTCTTCTGAAAATCCAGCTTCAGCGTATCATAAAGAGGCAGAAAGTCACTGCTTGCAAAAAAACCTACAAATTTTGAAGGAAATGGTTCATGCACTCACAAGTTATTAGGCTCTACCCCCTTTGCATGCATGACCACAGGTATTTAGCCTATCGGTAAAAATGGGGGCTAAAATTATTTGGCAAGTTTTTTTAGAGACAGTAATTGATAAAAAGAAGTCTCCTCCACTGCCCTTTTTCTTATGAAGTCTTCTTTCTACCCAATCTCTAATTCATTTTACAAATAACTCAGAATGTCTGAGTTAAATTCTCTCACCCTGGGCAAGCCATGAATTCAGGCCCAAGCAGAACTCATGATGTGAGCCCCCAGCAGATGCATCATCTTTGGCATACACACAGCAGGAAGCACACACCAGTCTGCAAGAATTAAAAACAAGCCCTGGCAACCCCACATTACCATGGATTTTTTTGCAGTCAATTTAGCACATGTGTTCCTATCACTAATCACAGCTTTGAGCTACATGGGAAAAACAAGGGTCACCCAGACTGTTAACATCCATGGCTGGAAAAATGCTATTGCAGCCAGCTGCCTTCACTTCCAGTCACAGATCAAACCAGAAAGGAAGAACAGGACTGTACCCACATTTGGTGTACAAKGTGGTGTGTACAGGGGAGGGATATGAACAGCTTTTTTTCCTTCTTTTTTGTGCTGTTTGCATCTGTGCAGAAGTTGCGGCTCTGACAATACATCCCCTCAAGCTGACACCCATTGCCTTAGCACACATATTTATGACCACTATAGAAAAAAAACACAAAAAAGATGGACAAATTGCAATTTTTTTTTTATAAAAAAGAAAGATCATATGCCCACCACTGTTCATGCCACAAGCAGCAGAAGCAGTGAAGAGAAATCAGCCGTGAACTCTACATGTGCACAATATATTGTAATGGTGTGATCTAAGTAACTGCTGKGGTACACATATCAGGTCATCAAAGGAAAATTGATACCTAAATGATGGCAGTCAACCATAAACATGAAACTATTTATTTTTTTTCCTATACTGATGGAAAAAATGATTTCAAAGAATTACTTTGTGGAGCCAATAGTGATGCATAAATATGTTTGAGAAGGCAAAAAGCAAGAGGTATTCTGTAAACATCTATCATATGCAAATAGCTCTACAGAAGAATAACATTTTCACAAGATCCTTCCTGCTCAGTACGATAGAAGAAATTCTGTTTTACCTGACCAAAACCCTCTTTCTGAAACAGGAGACACTGGGGAGCATTTCTGTTCCCTAGAGGTATCATAAGCATAGACACAAAAAACCTGCATTTTTCTTTAAATGAAAAAAGAAAACCATTATCTTCAAAAGCTCCTGCAGGAACTCAGCTTTTTTTTTCCTCAGTCTGTATATCAAAGAATTTCATATTCCAAACAAACCATCCTGCCTCTCTTGTGAATGGAATAAGCTGGAATACAGCTCTACCTCCCACTGTATGGAAAACACCCACCTGCTTGCTTTTTCTGTCTTCAGCTACTCTGGAGCTATTTTGCAACTTTGGAGCACAAAAAGATGGGAGCTACTGTCACTGCTGCTGTCAGCTCCCAAAACTGTGGGGCTGTGCAAGGAAACCTGGGCTGCTCAAGAGCAATCCAGCTGCCTGTGGATCCAAGGGACCMGGACCATTCTGAAAACAAGTCACTTCCAAGCTTTAATGGTGATGATAAAWATGTAGAGATCAGAGTTTTTCAGASAATAAAAGCAGGATCTGATCCTACTGAGCATTATTCAGGATTTCCATAGCCTTATTGTCAGGGAGAGTTGAACTGCATGTTGATGTTAAATAAAAATTGTTTCAGCACTAAAGAAACAAAACCACACAAGCGGAGTTTATGAATGTGGGCTCTCAGTTTGCAGAAGGGAATGTTATTCATTAAGAAAAGTCTAATGATTTACTTTGCTACCGYGCATTAAATAAGGTGCAAATTCAATTTCCTGTCAGGGTTTTATTTCTTTCTTGTATTTCTAAGCTGCATAGAATAATGGTGCTGTTTTAGAATGGGGAAATATTCATAYAACAGTTACTCTTAGGACATAATGGATCTCTTGTTTGGAGGTAGAAAGGAATTTGGAAATGTTTCAGTTTATCACCTACATGCAAACAAATACACAGGGAAAATCTATTTCCTTTTCTTTTGTGTAAGAGCTTAACAAATCCCATATGGATGAAAGCAAGGTTCAAGTTCTCATTAAAGTTTCTGTATATCAAATGAATTAAATTTTTCTCTGCCTTTTACTAGCACTTTTCTCGATGACATAAGCAATTTAAAGAATAAATATACATCCAAGTATCATCAGAAGAGCACATAAGAACAGTAAATCTTAGAARCTGTGTTGCAGTAAGAAATTAATACAGTGTTTTGCAAAAGCTGTAACAGAGATCCCTATTACCATTTGTCACACTCCTGTCACTGGAGATTTTATTCTGTCATACACTGATGAGAGATACATTTTGATTGAAGCTATTTGGAACTGTGTCCAGCCATTCCCAGTGCTTCTGGAATGTCCTCTCATTTCAACAATCTACAGATTGACATTAGAAACAATGCTGGGGAGTCAAAAGACAAACATGGAACAGATAGAGGTGACCTTAAAATCTGCTTTGATATCTTGTCATCAGGTAGAAGAAAGGYCTAGCAGCTAAAATAYCTCCTGAGCAAAAGACAAGATCACRTTTCTSCCCTCTTCTCCTAAACTGGTCTGAGATGCCCCTTGGGAAGCATCCTCCATCCTCAGCCAGGCCTTTCTCCTCCTCCCATGAAAACCCCTGATTCCATTTCAAGCATCCTGCCTGCACCACTGCTGAGTGCTGCTGTCATTGTGACACAAGCAATTCTCTGTGGGACACTAGAGTGAACCCCCTGGGCATTTAATGCAAGCATTCACTCATCTGGAACCAGAAGTGAATTGTGTGGCTCAGAGGAGCTCAGTTTTAACTTGATCAACTTCCCAATCAATGCCATGACRCTGCCTTCAGTCCTTCAGTTTTCTCCTAAACACTGCAGACACAAACAATGCTGCACTGGGAGCTATTCCTGTCTGCACCTGATTTGCACGAATTTCAGTCTTTCCAGCACTCCAACAGCCACCAGCTCATACCTGAGCTCAGCAGCAGCAAGCAAACAACAGCTCTRTGTAGTGTAGCAATGTGACA